AACACCTCTCCATAAAACACAACACTTACTACAGTCTCCAAATAAACATTAAGTTGAAACAACACTTGAAACAACAAACTCCACAGTTTGGAGAAACACTGAACATTATAACCTTCATTAAATTTTTCCTGACTGTTATATACGCTGCACTAGTTTTAGCTCAGTGTACTTAATAAACTGGCAACTGGGAGAATTTGTGACCTATTTTTAAAGTATAGATAATATAGTGGGAACAAATGGGGCCTGAGTGCAAACAGACAGGCAGGAGAAGATGGAAAGTCTTGAGAGAAGGACTGAATGGGACAGCACTATTGATTATATATCTTAAGCCTTAATCTTCACTATTACAGCTCATTCAATCATTCTGACCTAAACCCTAAAACCATTAATTTTACAAAGGCTGTGCTCAGATGGAAAAACTGACACAAGGAGCTGCATGGGTGTGGTCCTATCGGCAGTATCAAGGAGAAGATAAGATACAAACCGGGAAATAAATTGTTAATAACATACCTATGATTTTAAAGGTTTTGGAAACCTATTTCTTCTCCATCTTGACAATTGCAAGATAAACTGTAGAATTAGCACAATGTTACTTAGTACCTGCATGCTAAAAATCATAGAAGTCTCAAGAAGTCATTTTACCTCACAGGTCGACTGCTGCCTCAATAGGTTAATGTGTTAGTGTTATAGGGTAACTTTGGTGTTTGCGATTCCTGTGTTCTGCATGGTAAAGCAGTGAAAATATATTAAAAACACCATCCCTGATTTTGTTAGGTGGGCTTTTTTTTTGGTGGATATAACTGGGATTGAGCCAACCACCATCTACTGCAGGTAATACACCGACTATGGATAAGTACCTCACACAACCCCGCTTCAAAAAACTCAAACTATCCCTTCAAGGTGTAAAATGCAAATTAGTCCTCACAAAAGTGAAAAAGAGTTAGTGCACAGATGTACTATGTGTGTGCGCAATGTTGTATTGTGACCATGTGATTGTCTGAGCTACCACCTTCAGCCTTTGTGCGTGCAAACACGAGTTCGATCATGTGTTGACTTGAATCTCTCAAAGGCAAGTAATGGTTATTAAAACTTAGGATACACACGCAAAAGCAGCAAAGTAGGACACTGAGCCAGTGGGCATGAAACCGATAACCCCAATGACGCAGTGTCTGTCCTTCTTGTTCTCCCCTCTTTCTGCTTCTTTTCATCCAGTTGAATATCCCCTCATTCTTTCTGTTCACATCCCATCTGCCCATGAGTGTGATCAAGAGCTTGTGGAGATCCAACATGTCCAGCTGACATTTTGGACAAGAAGCAGGGGATTATGAAATAATAATAAAAAAAATTAAAAAAACGACTCAATCGTTAAGCTTGTGGATTTCAGTCAACATAGCCTGTGTGATCTCTTCACGCTTTTACTAAGTGATCACGTTTGTTTTTTTCCGACTGGCTTGGGTCAATGTTGCAGCAGCATTAGCAGCACATAATTTATTTTAAACCGGGATTTAAAGAGATGAATTACTCAGAGCACATTTTTATTTGCAGCCACAAGCCTCGGGGAGTCTTGACAGAGGGGGAGGAAGGTCTACACACTGTAAAAAACACGCAAAGTAGGAAGTTATTGAGTCTCACACTAGTTTTAAAGTGTTATTTTGCTTATATTTAAAGAGAATCACAACATTGGGGTACATAAGTCCACTTGTTAAGGTCTAGTTTCTAGAAGATAAATTACTTTTTAAAGAAATTTAAGATGTTATTTAAGGTTAAATCAGGATATTTTTGCCAAAACACACACATCTACCAGTTTCTAGATCTAGTGTTAGTGCTACTAAGAATTAGAGATCAATATGGGAATTGGGATTTATGTCACAATAACTATTAACATTATCAAACCGATGGTCAAGTTTTCAAAATCCCAATCACAAAAATCCTGTTCTAATTAAAGAGAAACCAACCCAGTTAATTGGACTGACTAGAGGCACGTTACACTATTATGTTACTACTCACCTTTGTGATATGCAATAGTAAAGAATAAAGCAATAACATTGAATAGAAATAATATAAAAGTATAAAAAGAGAGTAAATCAATCAACAATTTATGAAGTGTATGTAATACAGAAGTTCTCAGGAAGTTTTAATATCAAAGTCCCTAAAGAGATTCCCATCACACATTTAATTTTGTCCAAAGCAACTTATCTGAGAAAATATTACTGCTGGAAATGATTTAATATAGAATCACATAACTGTTTGTGAGATGGCAGTAAACCATCTGATCAAATCATCTTTACACTGTATCACTGTGTTTACAAACAGTGAAATCTAATCCCTACTTTTTTTTGGAACCCCCCCCCCCCCCGTGTAAGCCTGAAAGCACCACATTCATTTCCTAATACTGACTATGACACTATACCAGACTCCTCTATACATTCAACAGTAATCTTTGTGTTTGTGTGCATGTTAGCCTGAGTTGTTCAGCGTACAGTGTGTACTGATGAAATAGCCAGCGGGAGCACTAATATGAAATGAAATGAAATGAAATGAAATGAATTCTAGAGAATTAATTAGGCGCTATAAAATTGAACTCTGATGCTCCTTGATTATGTGTGCTTCAAGCCGAGCAGAGACCCGCTGGGCACCGCATGTGATCCCTCTACACAAATTAGTTAACATACCAAAGATAGGAGCGTGATGAGGGGGGGAAGATGGGAGTGGGGGTGAGGTAAAGAAACAGGGGAGGAAGAGATGAGTAAAGGACATTCAGAGAGTCAGAGGCAGGTGAAATTGTGGGGAGCCATTAAGTCTCATGAGCCCTAAAACTCTTATTTCCTTCCAGTGCTACCTTGAACAGTTCTTTATTAATAATCTCACCCCACTGCCAGACAATTTACTAATGCTTCAGTAAACTAATATTTTATGATTCATCACCAGACTAAACAAGCAGTTCAGACGGATATTTTTTGCAGTGTTATGTCACACGTCATCCACACACTGAGAAAATAACTGCCTTTAATTATCAAGGTGCAAAACGTTGCGCTGAGCTTGTGTCTGATACTATCCTCCCAGTGACAGAAGTGTGAGGACTAAATTACTCTCAAGTCACTAATGAGGCTGATGCTGATTTGTTGTTGCATTTAAATCGCTGAATGTTGATTTGAAGTTATTCATCATGATCAGTGAGAAATCATTTCATCTAATCATCTATTCTGTGAAAGAACTAACAAAGACAGTGAAGTTTTATGAGCATTTAGGAGTGTACAACATGCCTTAGAATGAAGGTAATGTTGTCCACTTCTGATATAATGATACTGATACATATTTATTGCATATTTCTTTAACGCCAGACTGGTTGCCCAGGAGGGCCCTTCCCTGAAATAATCCTAGTGCAGCATTTTTATTAGATTCCACACAAGTATGCATGAGTCACTTCTGTATCATTTCAGCAGGAGATGATGAACCCACTTTAGCTTCAGGCTGCCTGGACACTGAATTTGAACAGTCTACCGGATTTGGCTTCTCAATCTGGATCACCCTAGATACTACAGTATATCCTCCGTTATCAATGTCAGACCTTCACTTGAATGATTAAACAATCATGGTTTAGACGATGGCCAACTAACTACGATGTGAGTTAAAAATGCACCTGCGAAGGTCGCTGTTGCGCTTGGAGGAACAAATTGATTCAGGTAGGAACCAAGATTCTTCCAATAAATGTAATTCTCGTGTGCTAATAATATATTAATAAAATGCTACACCTGTTTCCAGGCTCTATCTGCAGTGCAGTAATACAGGAGGGGTTTTATTTATGTTTTAGTCCACTGCAATACAAAACAAAAACTGGTAGCTAGGAACTAAACTAACCAGTCTTTATTAAAGTGACACACAAGCAGTTTATATATTTGAAAAAGTTAAGGTAACTGCAGTAATTTGTCAAGAAACTAAGCCCCCACACACTGCAGTGACTCATCACGTCAGGGCTCAGCATGGTCCTTGCACTGCTTGCACGCAATGTCCGCAGCAATTAATGTGAACGTACTGGTGCTCTGTTGTCAAAAGTTGCAGTCTAAGACACTTCAGTAGGCGCGGGGTACAAATTTACAGCCAGCACACAGGCGAAAATTCATCGAAAGTGGGGAAAAAGCTGCGTGTAATGTCTCTTTTGTTAGAACTTTCACAATGGCTGTCACCATTGTACAGCACATGCGTTTACTTGTTTACTTGCTTCCTCGTTTTTCAAAAACACATTGGCGATATAGTTGCGGGTGTGTTTTTAAAGGAGGAAGACAGAAGAGGTGATGGGCTTTGAGGTAACATAGTACAACAGTCTAATCAGTTCAACTAAATCTTTATTATCCTTCAAGGGGAAATTTGATTTATGTCTTTAGTAGGCGCCCAGCCGGGGTGGCTGCAGACTACAGTGTCTCAAAGCCCCAGTTGCAGAGATTTACGGGTGCAGTTGCAAGAGGCTATGCACAATTGTGTACAAATGCAGCCTACAGATTCAAGAAACAAATTTTGTTTCAAAATCATGACCCTTTCACAGTAACCCAGCAAACGCAGTCAAACACTCAGACCCAGCATAGGGGCTCATCTGGGTTTCTGTAAGCAGGATATGATGTTTAGATGGACAGACACAATAGGATACTTCAAATCTGCTGTGAGAGTGACTGACAGAGGCAGAGAGAAGAGTGCAAATGAAATGAAACAGACAGAAACAATCAGAGGGAGACAGAGATGTTTACCATTATGTGTGTGTGTGTGTGTGTTGTGTGTGGTGTGTGTGTTGTGTGTGTGGTGTGGTGTGTGCCGCGTGTGCAGGTGTTTTAAGCTATACTGGTAGGTGGTGATAGTTCAATAATGCATCAGGCTGCGCTCTGAAACACATTGAAAAAAAGACAAAAAAGAAGCACACAACCCCCTTTTTTTGGCGCCCCAATCTTCCATTAGCTGTGGTGTGTGTGGTGTGTGGTCGTGTGTGATGTAGTGGTGTGTGGTGTGCTCACCTGTGGGCGGATGACTCTCTCAATGTTCTTCAGGGCCGTGTCGGGGGATGGGGGAGAGCAGTCTGGAGTTGGGCCCGTTGAGCAGTTGCCATGGTTACTGTACTCCCCCTCACTCACCGCTACATGGGACAGGTGACCTAGGAGAGAGAGAGAGAGAGAGAGTAAGAGACAGGTAAAGAGAGTAGAGTATTGAGCTTTATATTGTACACTAGACATCAGAGTTGTCAGGGATTCGTGCTATCGCCGGGATCAGACTGCTGTGCAGTATTTCTTCCAACATGGTCACTATGTCCAATTTGGTGGTCGCAGTCCTGCGGTGACTTTGGCCCAAGAGATATGTCAGATTACATGTTGGACCTTGACCTGTTTTTCATGACGTGCAAAGGTGACTTGACAGGAAGCATCAGAGAGAGAGAGAAGAACTTTTGGGATCAGGAATGTCAACAACCATTGGCATCATGAAGCACATCGTAGACGCTGTCAAACTCTGTAAGTAGATTCTCTTCCACTATGACACACTACATGGGATTCAACAACAAACAACCTTGGTGTACTGGATCAGGCTCTTTTCAGGTTATGGAATTATTGTGTAAAAATGCTAAACTTTTCAATCTCATTTCTATAAATCTGCCTTATTCTGCCTCTCCAGATATTCTTTAGAAGTTCCTAAAACAAGTAAAACTGTAGAAAACAAGTGTTAGTATCTCATCCTGGTGACAAACGCATTCAAGAATAGTTTTATGTTCTATAGCCATTAAATCAATTTACACTTAATTACCTCTCTATAAGAGGTTTGTATTGTCAGTGGCAACTATTCCCACACTCAATTTAAATTAAATTTGATTTACAGAAAACAACACATGTACATACTTAACGATCAGTCATTCGCATTTTAGAATTGGAAAAATATGTGTTTTGTACAAGTATAATCATCTATAAACGTGTAATTTCAAAGACAATACAGTGGCTTGAATGAATGAAATTATTAAAATTAATATTATCAAGTTCTTAGCGTTAACACCAGCAGCAGTTGTCGCCAAATCAACCAGAACAAAAACCTTAAGTATGATAACTTGAGGATACAATTTATGATGCCTGTTTAAATTTCTCTCATTAGCTTCTTCCATTAAATCTATTCCGGGTCATACGGAGAACAAAATGACAAACATTTTTCAATTTTATCATTGCTATCGCTATTAAATCACACCAAATTGCTTATCTACACTCCTCACCCTAACATAAATCAAAACACTGCTAATCTGTACAGCATGTTTCTGTATATCAATAACTACGCTGATTAATCTTGCACAGCTTCATTCCAGGATTCTCCAAAACAACTGAAGCGGCTGGAAAATTGTTTTTTAGTTCCAAAAAAAGACTCTAAATTCCCCTAAAGGGCTTGCGCAGCATAATCCAAGTTGGGAAGCTTCTGTATTGTGCTTTGGGCTCCATCCTTATTATCCTTTTGAAACATTTCCCAGTTGCTTCAGATATGAAGGGAGAAGGTTTAGGATTACTATAGAGCTGCACCAGCCAACTAACTTTTATGTTGTGTTGGCATACAAATTACTCAATTTTGGGCGAAGTGAGAAATGAAAGAGAGGGTTCAGCTCAACACCTAATGTGTCGCACAGAGTATTTCCACCTAATAGTGCTCAGACAATCACAGAGATGTGTCAGTAACAGAGAGTGGTGAGGAGAGTGCATTTTGTAAATTGATAAGCGTCGGAAACAACCACAGCAGGAAAATACGACTGCTGCCCGCTGCAGTTTCATCTATCTATTAGTCTATCTCAGCTTTTTACACACTGACACGCAACATGAGAGTGTGCGTGTGCTCGCGTGTGGCTAAGTGAAGAACCGATTGTCAGAGCTAATTTCCCCAGCGTATGATCGTTTGACAGAGGGGAAGGGGGGAAAAAGAGCACAAGGAGAAGAAAAGATGAAGGGAAGAAAGGAAGAAAGGAGAGGGAACTGCTGAAGTAGCCTGAATTAAATGTCAGGGGGAGAAAGCATCTGTCTTAATCAACTGAAGGAGACATAACACACAGACTGACACACCTTTCCTAAAATACTGTTGTCAGAGCGCACACACCCACCGGTGTCTTTCTGTCAGCTGCCACCTGCCTACATGGATCATATTAAACAGCAGAATATCTTCCAATTATGGTGTGAGACCCAGCCAGGAATTTTAACACACATACACACTCACACACACACACACACACACACACACACATACAGTGACATCACTATCAGTACCAGCAGAGTCATATATTTGCTGTAGAGGGACCGTTCCTTTAAAGATACAGCATATGAATGATCCATTATCAAAAACTGGGAATAAAAACAGTATTCCTTGGTGTTTCAACTTGGGTGTGATTTTTCACAACTCCCACAAATCTTCTTCACATATTTAAAAAGAACAAAGTCAGAGAGGGAATAAAAAAGTGGGGCTGCCGATGATGTTTTGGATAATGACAGCTTCCTGTTATTTAATTAGATGGGTAAACCTTTACATTTAATTTGGCGGGATGGATGGATTAACTCTACAAGTGGAGTCTCTGAGTGATTGAGCGACGACAACAAACAACAAAATGAGTGACAAAGGTGTTTTATTTAACATAAACATGTGGGAATTGTTTTGAAGTAACAGTACAGGCTTTTTTTAATATATATTTCACAACACTGGACAGAATCAATACCTGTTTGGTCTCGTTAAATGTTGCTTTATTCATCCAATTGTGTTCATGTTGTAAATAAACTCCCTGATTTCTGATTCCCAATTTAATAATAGCATCATTTTGGACTACTGTAGAGCACCATTAGAAAACGAGATAGTAGCAGGGCAATAGCCAGGATTTATAAATAGAAATACCTGCATCATGAGGCTGACATGCATAAACACTGGGTCTAAAAATAATACAATTAACCAAAACTGTGTACGTTTTTAAACTGTAAAATGTGAACTGAACGCCAGGTTAGTAAAATCTCTAAATTCCCCGAAGAAATATTGAGGATTCCAGCTTTGGTTAAAGAGTTCAAGCAACTGTCCACTTAGCTGATACAACACTGTCCCAAACTCTTAATGACTTTCTTGATCATCTGCTCGTTTGTTCTTGGTGGATCATTACGTCCGAATCACTAAAAGAGATGAGTGGAAAATTAAAGAACTGCTCTTACGCTTGCTAATTCCGATTTCATCTTCGCTCGTGTCAATGACTTCACAGCCTCGTTTCTTTCCAAGAAACCAAGATTCAAATTATTTTCCTCTCTGGTCAGCAGCATTTGAACAACTGGCTTTGTAATGTGTGTTCTGAGTTAATGTTTGATCTTAGCTGTTCTGATCTCATTAGCTTTTGTTTGCAATAAAGATCTGATAATGACACTTGTTGTTTAACCTCCAACTTTGACACTTGATTAGTTATTTTGACGCATATGAAAATATGTTAAAAGATCCATCAAGTAGTATTTGAACTGCAGCAGTTTTTTGATAAATGTCTTAGCAACAGAATGCAATGGGCTTCACTGGAGAATAACCTTGAGGAAACACTGGCAGTGACAATATACTAGCATGATAGAAGGAAAGCCAAGGTTTGCAGCGATGTATGACTCATGATGCACATATAAAGAGTCTAGAAACATCCTTTAAATACTAATACTGAGCTGCACAATACTTTGACACCAAATTAAATCCTCATATTTCTTTTAGCAGAGGATCCTTTCTCTGGAACAATAACTGTTTTAATCCTCAAAGCTCAATCATGAACGTGGTGTTGAACTGAAAGTGTCTGCTCCTGCTTCCAAATAGGCCATCATCTTCCATCATATATTTATTAGAAATTTCAACAGTCTGGCTGCAGATGCAGACACACACACAAACACACACACACACACACACACAAACACACACACACCCACATCAGTCCTTCAGGGAAAGTGACACAGCTTCCCAGCATGCTCTCACATCTATCAACACTGTGTCTCTTAATGTGTGTGTGTGATGCATGCAAACACAGACAGGAGCTTCTCTCTAGATTTACTTTGGGGTTGTGCAAGTACACAATGGCTGTAGGCGCGCGCGCACATACACACAAATAGACACACATCATAAAGAGCTGCCTGGAGCTGAATCAATGATTAAATGTGGGCGTAAATAGATAAAATAAAAACTGCAAAAATCAGAGGAAGGGAGAAGAAAGGAAGGATGCAACAGGGGGATATATATAGATAGAGGTTTTTGTCCTATTGAGTAAATAAGCCTGTCAACACTGAGGCTTTGATGATGGATGGGAGCTCTCTCTGTGTGTGTGTGTGTGTGTGTGTGTTTGACTGTGCTTCCTTCAGATTTGCTTTGAGCTCATTCCGGGGAAACGCTCTCAGTCCTCCTTGCCAAAGGGAATATATGTTTGTGTGTGAACATATAAAGGTGCTTACACAACACATTTATGAGAGTGTATATGTACTGTAGGGTATACCTCAACATTTTTTTTCAGTTTATCAGTTTACATCCATATGTTCAGGTCAATGCATGTGAGTGTGTGAGAAATAACATCTGGGAAAATGTGAAACTTTAAAATGCTTTAACATGCTTCACAGGATTCAGATATATATTACATGCCAAGCATACATGTGTGCTACAACGCATGACAGTGCCTGAATTTAAACAAGCGTACCTCTGTGTACATTCAAGGCCAGCTGCACAGCTTGTTAATGCAAGCATGCAGCAGGGTGTACAGGAGGAGTGTGTCTAAGTGAACGTTTGGTGTGAGCAAGCGTTCAAATCAGCTGTCCTCTTCCTACCCGCCAAACAAGATGAAAACTGTCAACTTCAGACCTGTTCTTCAGGCTGTCAGTTCTGCCTCTATGCCACTCTGACAAGTAGCATTTTATATGTATACTCCAGCTGTGTGTGTGTGTGTGTGTGTAGCTGCGCTCACATGTTCTCTTCTGTGTCAGAGTGGCAAATTGCAGCTTAGCTCTCAACACAAGTTTCTCAAGTTTGATCAAATACTGGTAAAAAAATAAATAACGGTTAGAACATTTTCAGCGAGGGGACAACAAAGTTATATCAAGTAAAAATTGCACTGTTATGTTGTAAGAGTATTTAAAAAAGGGACAATACACATTACTTAAC